GAGTGACAAAAAGGAAGAAAAGAGGGCAGGACAGAGTGGGAGAGAGGATGCAGAGGCTGATGGTAACAAGTGAGAAGCCACATTCACTGAGGAGTTAAGATTTAGTGCCCCCTGTATTACAGTGTGGGTAAAAATCACTTTTAAGGACCCTAATGAAAGTTGAAAGTTACCTTCAGAAAGTTATGCATATTTCAACAGAAATAAAAATCATTATGCATTCTCTCTAAAGAGGATACAATCTCAAACTGTCAAAATTCTGAACTCTTCTACATATATTACATACAAATGCCTTCTATAAAGAAACCTCTTTTCATTTTTCTTCTAAATTAGCTTAGTGGTCCATGGTATTACACTACCTTGATCTAGCCTGTGAATAATGTGACAGGTAATTTTTATACTTCTTGCCTGTACTTAAGTTTGAGTGAAGATACGGAAAACAACTTTTATGATCTAGGTGTAAAAGTAAATGTTCTGTGAGTCCTGCATACCCAAACGTGGACATCTACTATGAAATGTTTCATGATGATTATGTGTCCATCAATAAAAAAAAAAAAAAAAAAAAAAGAGTAAGTTGTTGAGTTTTTTAAATAATGTGCATGTACAGCAGGTTTTTTTCCAAAACAAATAATAATGCTAATGTTGATGTAGACTACCACATTATCACAGAGGGGATTTTACATTCTGTGTTATCAGACAGGAATCTTTCTGTAACAGGATGCACTGAGAAGGATGAATAATATGCAAATAACATAGGAAATCATCCAACTAGTATTTTAAAAAAATTGAATCCTCATGAAACTGTTGACTGCAATGACATGGAAATGGATGGTAACAGTCAATTAATTTCCATCTTGAAAAAAGCTCAAAATACACCTGTATCAGCTGAAGTTTGTAAGGGATGGAACTCAAAATGCTGAACAGTTCAATAATGTTTGAGTTACAATGCTGGAGAAAAAGTCAAATCTCTGACTGAAACAATGGAAAGCCCAGTTTATATTTTCTCTACTACCCAAACATTAGGCAGCCACAGCAAGGCTCTTTTTCTCAGTCTCTGTGATTATTACTTGTGCTCCAGGACTTCAGCAGCGATGCTATAAACTGTGCTATGAAGGAAGTAATCAAAATAAATTAACTTGTAACTAGGGTGCTGGACATTTTCCCTTCAGCAAAGAAGCCCAGTAATACCCAAACACAGGTCTTTTAAAAACTACTTTTCCTTGTCCTCTTTCATGAAAGAAAAAAGGCCATCAGAATGTTGAGTCTAGCAGAGCAAAGTACACTTTAAGGTGCTCCATAGGGAGGAAAAGTAAACACAAAAAATTACAGAGATGATGTGCATACAAAAAGAAAAACAATGCAAACCTTAAGGCATTAGGGAGGGAAGTATGAGAAACGAGGTGAGCTCTAAGTGATAGGGCAAGGCACACAATCCATGTACATCCATTCAAAAATTAGTTCTGTCATGAATCCAAAGAGAAACTGAGTACAAATCCCTGAGGTCATACACTACCATATCCAGTGTTTTCAGAGTTATTCCTAATTTACAATCAGGTAACCGAGCTGAGCTTCAGTCATGTAAATAAGATTATTTTGTTTACAAAGTTAAAATATCACAGGAGAGGAATTTACATCTAAGAAACCAAGCAGAGTTGTGATGAACACACTCTCTTGTCTCTTACATGCATGTATTCTCTCATTATGGAGGGCATGTATGTATTATACCTGTTACGCCATTTTTGGGTTTGAAAATACACTGATATATAAACAAGACTAATATTTTCAAGAACACAGAAATAGTCCACACATAGGGAAAAAAATCAGAATGTACTCACCTGTGCCATGTAGTTATTTGTGACATACCAATGCTCATACAATAAAGTAATTTGACTGATATCCAGCTTTTATGCAACACAGAGTGGCTAAGACAAGTCTTTGATTTAATAGCTCTCTTAGTTTAAGTTGCTCTTCCTTGTTGCTGTAAAGGTAACTGAATATGTTTCTAACTCTATTCTCTGCTGAGATGAGGACTAACAGACTAATAATGGCTTTCAGTAGCAGAGAAACTCTGATTTGAAATCAACACTTAGGTCTCTCTCTGGAGACTCTACACAGTCACTTGGATGCACACTAATCATCATCTCGAATAGCATAACTCATGCTGAAAGCAAAATAATCAGCACTATTAGGAAAATCTGATCAGCTTGTCTCCTAACATATTATTAATCACAATGTGACCCTCATGTGATGGAAAACCCAGCACACCAGAGGTAAGGAGGTGAGGAAGGCTTTCTTCAGCAACTGCAAGAGAATCCTTGGAAACTGGGGCAACATTATGATTTTTTTTCCACTTGAGGAATTCTTCCAGGTTTACTTACTTTGAGACTAAAATGCTGCATATTTTCTGCTGGTGAATAAATGAGCTGCATTTCATCCAGTGCATATTTCCAGCAGTGGCTGAATTCTCAGAAGGCACTTTACTGGCTCACAGACCCGACCACGGGCATTTGCCAGGCAGATTTAACCTCTCCGAGGCTGTGGTTCACTGTATGACGTAATTCCAAGCCAGACAGTTTTACTTACTCTTCTGGCCTGAATGTTTCCTCTTGCAACTTTTATTTCCTCGTATTTACTCCTCAGGTTCCTGTCAATGGAAGGTTTTTATAACCTTCTCTCTGCAGACTGGCATGGCTCCGACGGGGTAAGAAATGCATTTCTAAAGCTGACCTGGAGCTGCTGCTCTGGAGGAAGAATACAAGCACAGGTCTTGGGCTTTTTAACTCTAAACCAGTTTTTTCCCAGCTGTGGAACAGCATCAGTTTTACCTGACACTACATGCTGGCTGACAGGTGGGTAAAATAAACAAGTGATGTATATTCCAAAGGAAGAGCGATTCCTGAGTAGGTCACAGCAGTGAGAGAGAGAGAGAAGAGGAAACAGACCTGGCAAAATGATAACCTACAAAAGCACAGCAAAACAGTCCATTTCTGAACTTGTTTGCCCAAATATTTTTTTGCAATGTAGCTTACAAAGATGAGGTGTAGTTTAAAAAGCTGGATGGAAACAAACAAGCAAAAATCCTTCCCTGCAAACCATCAGATTTTTATCAGGCCCTAACCCGCCTAACAGAAATTCCTACAATGTTTATTAATATGGCTGTCAACACAGAGTAATTTACCTGCATATAATATCTGCCAATGAACAGAATCCACAATAAACAATGGCAATAAACAGTCAAGGATAAACAGATTGCTTGTTTGATAGAACATAGGAGAGACAATGAGCTTATCTTCTGGAGGACTGTTAACAACTCGTACAATAAATAACAAAGATACAGCAAATAATCCAAATTTAATCATCTGTGTGACTTCACTTTTAGGGAAAAATTCCACGCTCTTGCCAAGAGAAATTTACACATTGTGCCAAGCAGATTTATTTCTCACATAAAACAGACCTCATGGGGTCAAGGTCTCCTACAGTCTGAGAAGTGCAGTACGTCTACATCAAGACTGCAGATTACACTTACCATATTTATTTCTAGGAAATGAATTTGTAAGAAGGACAAAAGCTGACTTTTTAACAAAGAATCAAATTTAGAGTGTCACGTTTAAGCAAATATAGAAATATTGTCTTTTATGATTTTAATTCCATTGATGAGTCATTCTGAGAGACAAAAATGCACATTTACAAGGTTAACTGAACATGAAGAATAACTTTGGATTAAAGTAGACAATAGCCAAGGGAACCTTCAGTGTTCATATTGTAAATGTTGCTGAGAAATACTTACTATTTTGATATACTCAATTTGCAGATTCTTTCTCATGGTCTGTACATTGTATATACACCGATCTTGAATGAAAACTATGTGGAATAGCTGCTAAGTGACAACAAAAAATTCCTCTGGACCACAAGCCTTCCACAAACATTGCACTCACACATCTTCTGCCTTCAGATTTTCCTTATAGCCTTTTACCTTTTGTTTAATCTGAAATAGAAAACTTTGCCTGATAGGTGCCATGATGTCTCGAAAAAGGAGTCTTCTTATTGATATACATTCTTGAATTGATCTATTTTAATCTACACAATGACAGGACAGCAACGCTCTGCTCCTTGTTTGGCACATCCCTGCTTTGGTTTGCATATGTGAAAGAGAAGCACATTAGCAATGTCAGGAGACATTCCAGCTCAACCCAGCCTCAGCTTTGCTCCTCAGCTTGGAAAGATGTGCACACAGGAGAAGAGCACAGTGAAGAGGAGAAAAAGAGAAATGAGGAGACTATGAAATCAGTGCATCATTAAATTTGCACGAAAACACACACCTCTTCTCCCACCTATTGTGTTTTGAAATACCCAATACCAGGCTTCCTGAATCTCAGCTCACCAAGTGAGGGTGAGTTTGAGATGTCCAGCTGCAAAAAACCTACAGTAGTGGAGGTGGAGGAAGGACAAACCCTCCTAACAATTTATTTGTGTCCAATTCTAACCTGAACTCCAAAAAGCATAAAAATGCCTCTTCCTTCCACCCACCTTGCACAAGATGATGGACTGAAAAAAAAGCTGTGGTGTCTGGAAGACTACAGTCAAGCATACAGACCCTTACCCCCAATGTTTATCTTAGAGAATTTTATTTTTCTCATGGTATGAAAACAGATATAGAGTTCATTTTGAAGATTGTCACATCCTACTGTGCAGTAAAAAAACCACATCAATACCTGTTTCCTCTATGTTGAAAACAGTCTCAAAAGTTGGGTTAGATAACATGTAGCCTATAAAACTATCAGCAATATTAACATTTTTAGCACAACATCCTTCAATGCGTATCTGTTTCTTTGAATACCATATTCCTACAAAAACAGACACTTCGAAGCTCTATGGTAATCCTCTGAAGACCTAAAAAAACACACTTAGAGGAGATAAATTTCCACTACAACACAAAATAACCCGAGAAAACATAATTCTATCTTCTTGCTATTTTCATTTTGTCCATTTTTGGTCATAGCTACCTCTGATGCTTTGATGTCCTCATAGGAAAACTGTGTGGCAGGTACTCCGAGGTGGTTGATGAAATAATCTGAATCTCCCTGTATCTGCACAGAGCTCACATTGGATCCTGCACATCTAGCCTTTTCCACACAGTTGCATCTCTGGCTCTGAAAAAAACAAACACAAATCAAAGCTCTACTTACTTATTTGCAGTCAGACTCTTGAAGACTTGTAGCAATATCTCATTTAAACAGCATTCTTTGGGTTGAAGCACCTTCAACATGGAAGAGAGTGAAGTTTTGCTGCAACATGGCTGAGTTTTTCAGAGGACAAGGAAATTCTTATCTAGCTGAGATGGCAGGAGGGGAAAGAGAAGAATTAAGGGACATGGACTGTCTCGTGCTGGCCAGAAGATTAGAAGGCATCATGGTGGTGCCTTTTGAAAGATTTTGAGATCTTTAATGGGTCCTGAGGAATCAGTTTTTATTCAGTTAACAGCATGCTCTGACACAACAAAAAGCTGAATGGGATTATCATATTCAATCTACGATCTGTCTGTGAAATGCTGGCAATGCAAAGAGTTTCCCACAAAGTAGGGCTTAAGAGAAAAACAGAATTAAAACACTAAAGATACCCAATATACATCTTCTGTGAGTGTAATACACATTTTCTCTGTAGGTTTCTTAAAAAAATTCTAAGTCAGTGATATCTTTGTATTTTTTTCATGTAAGTATTTAATGGTGAAATCTTAGCAACAGAATAAATATGGAAACTGGAAATCAAGCCCAGACTGAGTGCCACATATTTGTGTAGCTATTAAATCTACCGGGTAATTAAACACTTAATAAACAGTAGGCATAAAGGCTTTCAACATCTATTGTAACAAATAAGCTACTTAGGTTTCTTTTCAAGAATATTAGGAAGTTGAAGTACTGGAGATTATTTGCATTTAGCTAACAGTTTATATAGTATAACATAACTTCCTCACCTCTACCTACAAAATTACAGGCTTTCTAAAAGAATAGCCTACTTTAACACAAAAATACAGCAAATTCTGTATATTAAAGTCTCCAAGGCTATCAGGAAAATGTTAGACAGAGACAAATCTTGGTATTTTCCCATTTCAAAATTAGCATAATTACTGCTTCACAGTTTCATTTCAGTGCTGTGAAGAATGCAATTGCATATTACACGGTTTAAATAAAGGCTGCAGAGTCTTACAAAAAATTATTTTAAAATACCTTCAAGAAATAGCTTCCATTTCACAAGTAATTTTGAAAAGTGGTTATATTACTCCTTTTTTTTTTTTTATCTGTTAAGCATTTCTGTTCCTGCCATTCTTACATTCACAGTTGTTCAAGACCTGTCCAAAAAGTTCTAACAGAAATGGGAAACCCAAACAACAAATTCATTGGAAAAGGTGTTTTAATAACCACACCTGTATCTCCTAGAGTCTCGCCTACTCAAACCCAGCACACATCCAGGCAAAAAGTCATGGTTATGATTTTATAAATATATCTGTGCACAAGATCTGCTGCTCCTTCCAGGAATTATAAGGCATTTAAGGATCACCCAGTGTTCTTCAGATCAGCTGGTCAAGTTTCATAAGTAATGAGTAGCCTGTTCTTCCTTTAATGTTTAAAAACTCACTGAATTATGTAAAATTGTGAAATACAGCTTTTGACAGTTAATTCTGAATATCCACCAACCCCCATTGCTACCAGCCTACCAGGAGCTGAAGAGATGTCTTCCTACAGCAACCATGAAAGTTAGTTTTTCTTATGCATGAAAGTTTATACATGAAATGTTTACAGCTTTGGTTAAGAGGACTATAAAATATGGTGGTTTGGGGGTTTTTTATCACCATCCTTGACGGTATAGGATTAATATTTTTACGACAGCAATGTTCAATTCAATAGTACAGCATTTTAAGAGTTTAACTGCTTTATTCTACTTGCACTGTTCTCACACACAAGCCCAACAATAAATATTTAACCCAGCACCAATATAGGAGAATGCTTTACATGCTGTGCTCTTTCAATCTGTTTTTATTGCTATGCAGACCCTACAACACCAGCATTCTTCAACTCCTTGGTAACAACTGCAAAGTTCAAATAGTGTGTTTTGCATTCATTAAACAAATGAAATGTTTCTCCAAACTAATCGACTTAAAGAATAATAATGTTTTACGATTAATAAACCAAATAAAATTAATTTTAAAAAATCTTTAAAAATGTATCTAGAATAAACTATTAGCAACCCACAACCAACTCCCATTTGTAGAGCAGCCAAACTGTATTTCTTCAGCTGGTTAGCCTGACAAGAATAACACAGACTGGCTGCATTTAGAGCACTCAGCTGCTCAGGCTGGACTTCACTGTGTCAGTCAAGCTCTCCCTTCAGACTGGAGGCAAACCAAGCCCCTGGTGAGCCAGGGATCAAGGAGTGCAAGGATTCACATGCTATTCGTAATTGAATAATTTTATTTCTCTGGAGTTCATTTCGGGTGTTAGCAGCATCTTACAGGTTTATGTCACAAATTTGAGAAAATTAAGAATACCATATGGCCAATCAAATGCATTTAATTTGAGTTAATGTCCTAACACACATCTGACACATCTGAAGTATAACCAAGTGGGACTTCCTTGCAGATCTTATTAGTTAGTTCTGGTTACTTCTTTTCTTTACTTGATTGCAGCTTCACTTAATACATTGCCACCTTTTGAAAATGGATTAAAACATCTAAGGAGCTTTCAACAGGGCAAGTAAAGAATGAACAGTTATTCTTACAGTATGTCAGTGATCCCAGCTTCAGAACTACAAGAAAGCTTATTCTTCATGAATAATTGATCTCTATTTCTGAGCTGAATCACCACCTGTGTCAGGGACTGGTGCAATTAAGGATTTGAGGTATGAGAGACCATCTAGAGGAACTAAAATTGTCTAAAGGAAGAGCTACAGAATGTATTTAATTCATCACAGACCTTGTAAAAATGCAGAAATCAAGAGATTAACATATTTATTACAGTAAATATGTAAATCAACAACAACAGGTAGTAAAGGCCAGAGAAGCTGCACAGCAAAGGACTCATAGGTCTGTCTCTCTCATCTATAAACACCTGCCACACTCTAGCAAACAGATCATTAGAGGCAGAAGGCTTGATGGTTCTTATAAAAATATTAATGAATGACTGCCAAAGGCTATTAAAAAAACCATGGAGTTCCTAGGAACTGCATCAATTCTATGGCAGCATACTTCTCTGTTTTCTCCCAGTTGTCTGTCAGGTTTGGCTATAATAACCTGTTCTGCTCTGTCTTTATTGATTGATTATACATATTGCTGTTCATTCAAATCAGCTCTTTAAGAAATTATTAGGGAGATTTAATATGGCATTTTGCCCTATTGACCTCAAAGTGCTTTTTAAACCAACTAAAGGAAAGCAAGATATCTAACATTTTTGTCTTGCTCAATACCATAGAGCAAACCAACTACATAATAATTAAATGCACAGCATTTCCCCAGTTTTGAGCCTTATCAAACTGACATGATTCAAGTATGTGCATAAAAATAATTCTAAATTATATTCATTCTTTCTTTCTCTGTGTAGGAAAAGAAAATCTAAATATGGTGGTGATAATTAATATGCTATAGATAGAGTAGTTGTGGTTTAAATAGCCTGAATGTTACACACCACTGATGTGATGTATTTGCCTATTTATACAATGTGATCATTTGATTACCTGATTAAAACTACACCAAGAAATCTTATGAGGTAGAGTGACTAAACCTTGCTGCATTTAATTAATGCTATATTATGATGGAAGTGATTAATTAAAAATGAATAAAATGTTGGTTCCCTATTTCCTTAGCAATTTTTCCTTCCCACTTACACATATTTTCATTTAAACATGTATGAAGCCTTACTGCAAATATCTAAAATCTTAACATTATTTAATGACTTTTAAGGGTAACATGAAGACTCTGGTGAAATCCTGTAGCCCTGCAAAATCAGTCATATAAAAGAGAAATTGAAATCCCAGAAATTGCCCCTGGTTTGGGTTCTCCAGGACTACCACAGTGAAGTGAGAGATGTTCCTTGCACACACATATATTCCATTGAGAGGAACTTGTCACCAGGGAAAAACAACTCCCTCAAGAATTGTGTTTATTGAAAGTCATCAGGGACAAGGAATTCAGCATCATCTGAGTCCCTCTGATACTCGTGGACACTGCAGGTGGTTCCCAAACAAATCACTACAGCCCAGGGATCCCCATTAGAAACTCTGAATTTCCCCACCACCCCCGTGCTCTCTATTTCCATACACAAAAGCACCACACCTGGACATTCCAAGAGTAAACTGTTTTCTAGGCTGTGCAGGGAGAACTGGATTTTCACAAGAAAAAACCTGCCTTTTAGATAAACCTTTAAAATAATTGTTCTTTCAAAAAGCCTGCAGGTATTCTGCATGCCAGAGGAGGCCTTTATCACAAGAGGGGAAGAAGAAACTGAAAATGTGACAAACACAATGCTTTCAAAAGGTCAGGTCAAACCAAGATTAGCCAAGACCCAGTTCTGATATTGTATTCAGATTTCTACTGAATGAAGGAAAAGTCAGTTTACCTAAGAAACACAAAAATAAAATAAAATTTATTTTATTAATAAAAATAAGAAAAAATAAAACTGCCGAAAATAAAATTCCAGTAGTACCTTTCAAAATTGTGTGAAGCAATTTTTGCATTTCAATGGTGACTTCCTAAAAAATGGGAACTTACAATACCAGTGGTTATAAATAATGCATGGAGAAATATCTGTGCTTGGAACAAAACATTTAAATATATTGCTGTATGTTATACTACTTTGCAAACTGGAGTTATTTTTTATTTAGCTTACAGCTAGAAAACATGAGACAAACTTAATCCTGTAATTCTTGTTCAAGGCTTTGGTTTCTGTTAAGCAGTATTTGCATACTTTTAAATATTTGTCTTATTTTTTATAAAAACATGACCGTCAGTGTAAAGTCTTTATAATAAATGGTACCTCACAGGACTAAATCACATTTTAGATGCAAAAGTTACATCAAGCTGGTAGGAAATACAAAAGCAAGGTAGTAAAAAATTATATAGTGTAAATTTAATTTTCTATCCTGTACTTTTTCTACATTTAAC